TGTTGTCGTCGGCGGTCGGCGCGGTCGGCGGTTGGCTGAGCTGCAACTTCTCCTCAAGACCTAAGACTCTCTCTCTAGGTTTTAGCTTCTTCTCATGAGAGAGATGCAACTCTATTTATAGTGTTTTTGGTGCAATTAATGCGAGAATATGAACCATTTTGATCGGACGGTCTGGATAGCTTCCCTCAATGATACGATGTTTAATGGACATTTGAGTGCCTTAGTGATGTCGAAATTGAGTGATCTTAGGTTCGTTGGATTTTTCTTGTTGAGATGCTCAATTCGAGTATAAACTTGTCATATTTGACAATCGTTTTACCTTCCAAATGTGTCTGTAAATTTTTAAAGTCTGGTTCAATGACTTGATCTGGGCTTTATTTGACTTGGATTGGGTTCGTTTTCATTTCATTAGGTATGTCTCATCAAGCCGGTCAGTTTGACTATAAGTTTGTTGAAATTGAAGCTCTGGATGACCTTTTAATAAGATTTTAAATATTTCTTGCTTAAAATATCGTTTCGAGATTCATGACATGCCTCAATATTTGTGTCGAATGATTAAAATTTGTTGATGGCGTATATGTTGCCCCTTATTTTCGGGCGAGAGCATTTTTATCATCTGAAAATATCAATATCTGGAATATTAATGTATGTATATATATATAGTAAGTTAGTATAATAATATATTTCATCCTTACATAAATAGAAAGCTGAACTCAGTTTACTTAATATATTTTGTTTCATGTGAGAGAGGAGAGGTTCAAATCCCGCCTGAAATAGAAGAAATAATATTTTTATAAAGGAAATTGAAGATATTAAGAAATTTGAACCAGTGATAAATTTGAAGAGAGAATTGAATTCTGAAAAGAAGATTAATAGAGTTTGACCCTTTTTCTTAATATTTATGAGCATTTAATGATTGCACTTAATTTTAAATTTATATAATAATTAGTATTTAATGTGTGATTTCTTATTTTGTGCCTATAAAAAGAGGCCTGAAGAAGAGAGTAGAGGTGTGACGATGCGTCGTGGTGACGCGTTGCGGCGGTGCATTGCGGCGGCGCAACGGCGGGGCAACGCTTTGCGGCGGTGCGTCATGGCGATGTGTTGCAGCAAGGCATTGTGGTGACGCGACGTGTTGGTAGGGGTGTTACAGCGACGTGACATGTTGCAGCGGTGTGTCACACCGACGCATTGCTACGGGGTGACACGTTGTGACGATGCGTCGCGGCGACGTGTTGCAGCGTGGCGACGTGTTGCAGCGCGGCGACGTATTGCAGCACGGCGACATGTTGCGGGGAAGTGTTGCGGTGCGGCAACAAAATTAAGTATTAATTTTGTTGAAAATAATAATTAAACAAAATTAATTTTCTTTATTTAAAAAGAATTATTTGAGAATTCAAAGATTTTAGACATAGAAATTGTGTAAAATTTATGGTAATTTTGTTATGCAACGATTAATGTGGATACCATCACCTTATTAGAAGCAGATGCAAGTGGACATTCCACTTGATCGAAATGTATGTCTACTGAAGTCAAGTCATTTTTTCGAAATGTATGGTTGAGACCGGAAGCATTTTTCGTTTAAAAACATTGTGATTAATACAGATTTCATGAAAGCAATAAATTTCTTGAAAGATTTACATACATACCACATAATTCCTATGTATTTACATATCTAAAATCTAACGAACAAATCTTACTTGTATGACCATTTGCATATATTTGAAAAGGTGTATTTCAATTTCTAAAAATTATAATTGTGATATATTTTATGTGATATCTTTGATGTGATACCAAATAAAATATCTTTGGTAGTTATCACTGGGACTTCCATACAGTGTTACTTGTTACACCACATTTCCAATACATTATTACAATGTATTTGGGATATTTTATTTGCCAGCGGAGTTTGTAGGCAATAGCAAGCAAGGTCAACCTACAAAATTAAATGTTAACACTTTCATTCAATTACCAAACAAAACTCAGCTTGATTTGGCAAAATATTTTATTGATGTTGTAAGGCTTGTGTCATTAAGAAAGTTTTTATATTAAAGTTTTGTTGAAAATAATTTTTAAACGAAACTAAATTTCATTGAAAAAAAATGTCATAGAAATGGATGAAATTTGACTATCATACATATATTGTATTGTTCATCATGACTACTAATATTTGTTAAATTTAAAAATTATATGGAATGAAGATATGCACTAAATGTTATTAGTCATTAGTCATTTGCACTAAATGTTTGGTTGATTGAGGAGTCGTCGCATATCTTTCTTAGTCAATATAAATAATAGAAATGCATTAACTTAAGACCACCCAAACTTTCAAAGTACCTCTAAAGACCTGTAAAGACCAAATATTCATCATTCATTAAAACATTCTAAAATATATGCACTAACACCCTTCAAATGCAGCAAAATGTGAAATTCGATTATACTGGTGCTTTAAGAAATGTGCACACTGTTTGAGAATGTTGTGCGGTTAGGCCTAGAATAAATCAAATTAACCTCATGTGCTCTGATCTGCATGCTGAAGGCTCAAATTATGATTTCAAAGCAGAAAATCTTAATTAATGTTTGAGTTATTGGTGATCTATTGCATTGCATGCATTGGATGATTCTAATTGGTGACAGTTATTTATTAACAAAACTAGTATTTTAAAATGGTAAATTATTCAATGCTTGATCATTGGTAATTTTTTCATGTTTGATGAATAAATAAATTATCATAGAAATTGATGAAATTTGCTTCTTGTATAAATTTATATTGTTAATCATTATTAATAACATATCTTAAAAATTATATGGAATGATTAATATATAAGAAGCAAAAAAAAAGGA